GCTAACCATTTGAAGAAAGTCCTTCCTAAGATCATTAGTGGTAATCAGTTAGCATTCATTGAGGGTAGAATGATAGTAGACAATATTTTAATAGCACAGGAGTTAGTTAGTGGTTATCACAGAAAACATTTGTCTTCTCGCTGTGCTATCAAAGTGAACCTCATGAAAGCTTTTGATTCGGTTAATTGGACTTATTTGTTTATGATGATGGATATTATGGGGTTTCCAGCCTGTTTTCTCAACTGGATTAAATTGACAATTAAGACAAAAAATTTTGTATTAGCATTAATGGTGGTCTGTGTGGATATTTTGGTGCACAAAAAGGGGTTAGGCAGGGTGATCCACTTACACCCTACCTTTTTACCATTGTGATGGAAGGGCTTTCTCTGTTATTAAATGAATCTGCTACCATTGGACGATTGCCTTATCACCCGCAGTACAGAAAAGTGAAGCTTACTCATCTGAGTTTTGCTGATGATCATCTGATACTTACTGAGGGGTCAGGACTGCCATCTCTAGGATGCATGAGACACTCTCTGAGTTCTATTCATTGTCCGGCCTGAAATGTAACCCTGCAAAATGCCATATTTGTTTTTGGGGGATGTTTGTGCTGTTTAATAGCAGGGCGATCCAAGTTTCTGGATTTCAGGAGGGAGAACTCCCAGTGAGGTATTTGGGCTTGCCATTGATATCTGGAAAGCTTTCTGCTTTGGAATGTGAGAACTTAGTAGCCAAAATTACTCAAAAGGTAAAGTCTTGGAGGGCAAAGCGGCTCAGCTATGCTGGTCGACTTCAGTTAGTCTCTTCAGTATTGATGGGGGTCCTGCAGTACTGGATGCAAGTTTTTCTGCTCCCTAAAAAAGTGATGAAGCAGGTACAGAGAATCTGCTCGTGTTTTTTGCTGCATGGAGAGGAGGGAAGAGCTAAAATCGGGTGGGATAGAATGGTGCGTCCTAAAAAAGAGGGAGGCTTGGGTTTAAAGGAACTCTGTTCCTGGAACCAGGCTTGCACCGTTCGCATGTTGTGGCTCCTCCTGATATAGAGTGGGACGATTTGGGTGGCTTGGATACAGACCTACGTGATCAAACAAGGTAGTATCTGGACAATAAGGTCCAGTTCCAGTGGCTCCTGGGCTTGGAGAAGAATTTTAAAGACTTGGAGTGTGCTTCAGCAATTTTTTCATGTTCAGGGAGGAACAGTCTTCTGGAACCACCTTCCTATGAACCGGTTCTGTTTAGGCATGGTTTGGGACACAATTCGGCCAAAATGGTCTGTTGTGGAGTGGCATAAACTTGTGTGGGGGCATGGTTTCATACCTAGGAATAGTTTTCCCTCATGGACTATTCTTTTGGATGGTATAGTCACATCTAACAAACTGTTGAAATGGGGGAAAGCTGTGGATGGTGTTTGTGTAAACAGGGACAGGAATCTAGGGAGCATTTATTTTCTCAATGTTAGTATGCAAGAGGGGTTATGGAGGGCTTATGTCGTCTTGATTTTTACAGGACATCTTGGCCTGCCACTGTGGTTGCATCTTGTGGTTTGTGTAAACAGAGGAATGGTTATATTGCAGGGTGATTTGATGCTTCTTGGTGGCTTCCATCTGGAAGGAGAGATGCAGGCAGAAGCATGGGGAGCCTCCAAAGTCAGCTGCTGAATTGCAGGGGTTGATCAAGAGCGATTTATTGACAGTAGGTACAGCTAGGTGTATCCTTGAGGAACTAGCGTGTTTAGGCATCTCTTGATGCTTTGTTTTTTCTGGGATTGGTTTGAGTCTTTGCTGTGGGTTTGTAATAGCAGTAGTCATGACTAAAAGTAGTGATTAGTTGAGGGTTTTGAAGCTCTTTGGGTATTGATATACCCGTTTCGTTGTATCTGTTCCTAACATCTTGCTAGTTTTGGTTAATAAGATGAGGGCAACTGATTCAACAAAAAAAAACTACTAAAAGTGTTATTTTAACATAAGAGGTCATGTAAAATGACTAAAAAAGATTTCTAATAAAAATATAAATAAATTTTTAAAAAATAAAAGGTAATCAAAATGGATCTTGTTAGATTTCTTTTATATTAAATAATATTATTTTCTAATTTATTTTCTTTTTAAAAATGATGTAAATGAAAGAAAATTCTATTTTTCAAAATAGAATTAAAATATGGTAAGCATAATCTTGTATTTCAAAACAGTTTTTCGTAGGAGCTCCAAATCGGAGCTTCTGCTTTTATGTTATGCAAAAGTACTTTTAAGCTTTTCAAAAACCGAGCTTTTAGAGATGTTTGGCCTGCTTTAACTTTTGGAGCAGAAAAAGAACTTCTAAAAGACGGACGAAACATACACTAAGTTTGGCTTTGTAATTAAGAGTTAGTATGGTTTAGGTATGTGGGCCATTAGTGCATGAGTGATGGATTTAATAGTACTAGCTAGGGATAGGCAATGGGTGGGTCAACCGCTATGTCCACCTGAATCCATCTGATTATAACCCACCCATTACATGTATGGGTGGATTTAGTGGGTGGGTGTGGGTCATCATTTTTGCCACCCACTAAATTTGGGTGGGTGGCGGGTGGGTAGTGGGGTTGCGGGTGAGACATTAACCACAAAATCACATTATATATCAGGTCATTAATGCACATTTAATAATAAAACACATTTTTTTTCTTATCTCAAAACTTTAATAATGATTTATTTAATTAAACTACAATGATATTTTATAAATTTTACTTGATTTATAACATAAATCTATTATTTTAAAATACGATAACTATCAATAAAATATGTTTTGTTTTTAAATGAGATAATTGGAGTTAGATTATGCAATAAACTACGTTTAATAGCTTTTAATGATTTTCTTTAAAAACACTTTTCCTTTTTTTTCCCCACGCTATGGGAACATTTCCCACTTTTCCCATTTTACCACCCACAGTGTGGGTTAGTAAAATGTGAGAAATGTTCTCACAATGTAGGGGGGAAAGGGAAAAAAGAGAAATGGGGATGGGAATGGGTTAGTAAAATGTGAGAAATGTTCTCACAATGTAGGGGGAAAAGGGAAAAAAGAGAAATGGGGATGGGAATACCCACCACTAACGAACAAATGGTGGGGGGAGGGGCCCACTGACGGGCCCGCACATAATTTACTTTTTATTTTTTTTATTCTAAATTTATTTGTTTTAATGATTTTCTTTATTGTGAGGTGTTTTGATTGATCTTATCCGCAACGGACAAAATCAATGACGTTATATTAAATTAGTGATGAAAAATATTATGTCCAAATTAAAAAAAAATTTATCAAAATGTTCGTATTAATTAATTATCACTAACTACGTAATAATAATGATCATTATATAAAAAAAGATGAAATCAACTATAATTGTGACTAAAACCCCTACCTGCCCCCAATTCCCGCTTTTCCCACCTTTCCCTACCACCAGTGGCGGATACATGCATGGTTAGGGGTGTCCCGGGACACCCCTAAAATTTGGAAACACGATTATTCAACCTACGATAGTAATTTGCGTATGAGAAAAAAATGTTTAACTGGAAGTGTGGGACACCTTTAAAATTTGGGAAAATGATTATCCAATCTCCCGTAGTAGTTTGCGTATTGGTATAAATAATATTTAAGTAGTAGTTTATGTGATTTAAATTTGGGACATTATCACTATTAGTTAATATATTTTCAATTACGCTACAACTCATTTGTTATTGTGTTTTAGATCCAAATATAATAGTAAAATGTTATTCTTATCTCAAATTATTTTCAAAACCTAACGATTAAACTCAACTACAGGATATCCTTGTCTAGTAAGATATGTAGAGAGATATTTGTTGAGCAGTATAAACACCGAATGCATTTTATCATTTGATGAAACACGTCTGAAATTTTAAAGAAACTTTTATTAGTTAGATATTTTCATATTTAATAATTATATAATTTAATACTAATATTTAATTTAATTTTTTTATAGAGGACACCCCTACGTAGAATTCCTGGACCCGCCACTGCCTACCACCCACATTGAGGATCGTCTAAGTGAAGTTATTTTTCTTTGGTAAAAGGTCAGTAAAGCTTAAAATGTGATGGTGGTAAAAAAAGATAGGGTAAAAGTTTAATATCCCAAAATGGCTAGAATACAAGTTAAGGAAGGCGGCTATTTATAGGCGCCGACCCCCTAGGTATAAATGTGATCGCGGTTTAGTGCGAAAACCGGAGTTCTATGAACACTCTCTCTATTGTGTTTATGCTCATATTGTGGTGTATTTAGAGGGGCTGCGGAGGTGGCTATTTATAGGAGTCGAACCCCTAGGAATATACCCTCTAACTTGGGGAATAAGTCGGATTAATTAAGGAAGATAATTACTTCCTTAATTAAAACCGACTGTAAGATAAATCCTGCAGTATTATCCTTCGAATATTCCTTTTAATTGATTATCCTCTTCCAACTCGTATTTAAGTTAAACTTATGTTTTTTAATTTAAAATTTATATATTCATTCACAATAATTGAATACGAACATTCTGATAAAATTTGAACAAATTCTAAGATACTTTGTTTTTAGTTGAAATAGAAGAAAGTTACACCAAAATGAACTTCGTTAATCAAAATTACCAAGATTTTGAACAATTTCGTAGATACCTCTTTTTCAGTCGAAATGGAAGAAGGTTCCAACTTTTAAATATAGTTTTAGTTTTTAAATAGTAATCAAACGATTGAAAGATACAACGAAAAGAATTACGTTTCGTAAAAGCACTCACAAAACAACACAAGTATATTCAATTTAAGTACTAAAAGAAAGAAGAGCTAAGACAATCCCCACCTTTTAGTCCCCACCATTTTAGCTCCCTCTTAAAACCCCTCAAAGAAGAGCTAAAATAACCCCCTAAAACCCATTATAGCTTTTTACCCCTCAAATTTGCCACATAGTTGAAGATGATTTATTGGGGCTAAAATGACATTTTTGCCCTTTTAGCTCTTGGATTGTGGTTGTGGACAGCGACACAGCATAACCCACCAAGGAAACAATAAGTGTTTCTCCTCCGAAAACCCACTCCAACTATGACATATTTCCTGAAACAGCTCAATGAAGACACCTTCATACACAAGAGACTGGTAAGCCCTCCGATCTGTCCTTGGTTTTGTAAAGTTTGTTCATTTGCTTGGAAAATTCGTTTGTCTCTATCAGCTGATTCCTGGGGAGTTTGTGAAGAAATGTGGGAGGCGGAATCTGACAAACCCAGTAATCCTGGAGCCAATAGTTGGAGATCCAATGGAGAGGGAGATGGAGCTATACGAAGATGGTAGCAGGTTTTGGGTGAGGAATGGGTGGCAGGAGCTTGTAGATCACTACAAACTCAGCCATGGATGTTATCTAGTGTTTGAGTACAAGAGCTACTCACGGTTTAAGCTTTTGATGCTTGGAGCAAATGGGTTAGACTTGGAGTTTCCAGTTTCCGGTTATGTCAATGTTGGACGGAATGGGAACCAGGAGTTTCAAGAAGTTGAAGAGGAAGAGAGTGTCGATGGTGATTCTGTGGAGATTTCAACTTTGTTTTCTTAGTAGTTCATATAAAAAGAAAAACTCTAGCTGTTGTTCTGGATCTCTTTGTGTTTAGGCTTTATTCATGGCTTATTTTTTGGTACTGATGTGTGTGCAGGCTCAGCAGTGGTTAAGGAGATGAACAACCTTAATGAAGTTAGCGGCAGGCAGCTAGCTCAGCCGCTGTCTGCAGAGAATACCAAGCAAAAAGGGGTTATGAGTGATAGTGAGTGCTGTTGGTTCAGCTCAGAGCATAAAAGGGGAAGTAAGAAATACAGTTTGATCATATTTGTCATCAATCTCTGCAGGGAGAAGGAGAAGAGCTGACGATGGAGAGAGGAGGCAAATGAACCAGGATGCTGCAGCTAGAAATAGAGCTAGTGGAAGTACCTTTGGAAGGGATAAGGTCTGGTGGGGTCCCATTAACGAAATTTTTTATAATATTTTATTCAATTATCAAGTTAATTTTCTTATAAAATATTCATTCAATTTAGTAGTCATTCATCAAACCATTAGTTATTAGATTTATACCTTACATTTTGTGTAACTCGTAATTGAAAAGTGGCATTTCAATAACTAGCTAAAATAAATAGTTTCCAAACAAAATCTAATACACACAAACGTTATATAAAACACATTTGATGACAAAGAAATTATATATTGACAGGAAAAAATTGTTGAAGTAAAAGCTTTTTAGATATAGCTGGAGAGGTTTGTACACATATTTAGTAGAATTATAAATTTTTAGAATAAGAACTATAAATTTGAGAATTTTCAATGATATATGACCAATATTGTCTAATTTATTTGCGTTTTTCTTAATATTAGTACAATTAAATTTCATATGAATGGGGTTCTAAATTCTAAATTTACCCAAATTAAACTAATATGTACATGCATATAACTATTTTAATTTATTCAACCCACTCCCTTCCACCTCCCTCCGCCATAAGGATGAGAACTTTCGTATTCCTTCCATGGCTGAGCAGGAAGGTACATGATTTTTGCTTTCCAGAGTTTTGGAAAACTGGAATATGCTTTCTTTTTACAGATTAGTGAAATTGCTTGTTGATGCATGGATATATATTTGTGACAGATGAGCTAGCTTTTTCTAGGAGACCTCCCAGCTCAAATCCTGGCAGACCCACAATTGCTGAAGCTATAGATGAAGATTTTGCAAGACTCATGGGTGCTTCTCGTGACAAACCCTCTTTATGTTTCGAATCTCTTTGTTTTTTCAGGTTTACATGTTTGATTTATGTCGAGTTTTGCAGGGTTATCTGTGATGAAGGACATGAAGTACAACAATAATGAAGATGGTGGAAGCCAGCAGAGACAGAATACCAAGCACAAAGAGTTCGCGAGAGCCAGTGGCAGTGAGTGTTGGTTCAGCATATAAAAAAAGGTGAAGAAAGAGCTCAAATTTGATCGTTACGTTCTTCAATTTCTGCAGGCAAAAAGAGAAGAAAATCCGAGGGTGCAGAGGAGATGAGAGTGAACAGAGCAGCTACAAGGAGAAATGGAGGTGATGGGAGCCCCTTCGGAAGGGATAAGGCTGATGGCTCTCACATTCCATCCATGGAAGGTACAAAATCTTACTTTCCAAGGTTTCAGACACTGAGAAAAATGTGCTTTCTTCCATGTTTTACACAATAATGTATGAATCTTGAGCTGCCTGAATTCTTTTATACATGAAAGCTGGGTACACTTTATTGGCCCAAAAGTTTGTTACTGTTTCATTATCTGTCGTTTAGGGTCCAACTTCATATAGAATTCCTCCCGCAAACGCTTCGGTTGGCTTCCAATAGAAGCTCCTCTCCGATCTGGCGTTATTGCCCGCTCCGACCCAGCGTAACCTTACCTCTGCTCTGCTGCAACGATCCATCAGGCCACCATGCTTTTCCCCTACTGATCAGACCACTCTACTGTACTTCTCTCTTTCATCTCCTCTTCGTAAATGCTGGCGCACGTCATCCCCCATACCCCTTTGCACAACTGCTTAAACACGGCACCAGGCATGCATTGTACTGACCAGTCAACAACTCCACCATTATGCACAGAAGAAGTGGTTCTTCTCTGGTTTCTGCCATATCACCTCATTCTCACCTCCTACTGGAATTGGAATTGAAATTGGGATTCTTTCTCTCTCTTTGTTCCCATATTCCACCCACCCTCAGTTCTTCTTCTTCCACCAGCTCTCTTTTGTGCTCTTACCTCTTATGTCTGCCTTTGCCAATGAAATTCTTCCTCTGGCCAAAATCATGCACTCGCTATGCTCTCCTGAAGATGGAGATAAGGATGCCTGTGGACATTTGAGAGGACGGTGTTGTTGGCTGCCGGTGAGTCGTTTCAGAAAATGGAGGAGGGAGTCCATGGAGGAGGAGGCGGCAGCGGAGGATGATTGGGAAGAGGTAGGAGAGGGCGGCAACGGAAGATTGGGGGTGGAGGTAAAGACGAGGGTTTTCTTTGTCTCCGTATCAGCACCAAGATGTATGTTTGCTCATTCTAGCCAGAGATTTCATTGTACCATTCCAATTGATGCTTTACTTTTTGCTGCACTGGCCGGTGATCGCCATTTATCCTTCTTCTACGCAGAAAAGAAGCTGAACCTGAGAAGGGGTGGAAATAGCTCAAACACACGAAAGCGTTGTATGAAGATGAAGAAAGAAGAGCTCGCTGGAGGCCAAAGCCGGATCCATCTGCAATAATTCCACTACTGCGGCTCATCACATGGGCAACAAAGTTCTACCCATCAACAGCAAAGGCAATGCTGCATTGCCTCCACGGTTTCCTCTTCGTCAGCAAAGGAATATGAGAAGAGAGACGCCAAACCTGTCAAAGGGGATAGCAAGACCAAGGTCATTTCCAGGATGAAGGAGCTCATTAGATGCCTGCAGCTACCAAATCTGAGAAGAATGGGAAGTTCCTTGGCCACAAGGTAGCATCTTTTTAATGTATGAACATTTTGGCCAAAAATTATGTGTTGTGTATGTGATCTTTTTATATCTCTGTCAGGTTCTACCCCAATTTTGAAACCGAGGAGCCCTTAAAGCAATGCAATAGGATTCAGACCTAAAGGGAAAAAATGGTTCAGCTTGAGATGGGAAGCTGAAAGCAGCTCCACCACTTGCTCGACACTGTCGTCACTTCTTGCCCTGGTACGGTCAAAGACATAAAGGCAACTAGATTGCCACGGATTCAGACTGTGAGCGTCTATGTACATACATATATACTTATTGTTGAATTTGAACAACATTGATTTGACAGTTGTGGCGTTGCAGCTTTGAACAAGGATGGAAGGAGGCATTAGAGGAGTATCCGTTGATTAACGGTTTAAATGAATGCCATTCCAACTGAAAGAAAAAGAATGGTTACTTGCCTCTTTTGTATTTCCTCTTCGAGAGATCTATTGATTACATTTCTTTATGTTGCTTGTCCTCTTTTTATCCTTGATATCACTTTGTTCTGTCATTAGTAGTAGTTGTCTCCCTGGTTCGTTGAATTTTTTAAATTGATGGTGCAAATTAGGTATCAAGTTGCTGCTACAAATTTATTATGCAACTTACAGAGTTGGGTTATTAGTTTTTGGCTCTATGCGATGAGGATTCTTCTTATCAAATTCGTTTGCTGATATCTTCATTCAATGGCCTTTGCTTCGCTCCTTTAATGCTTCTGATGTATTTCTCCTCTGTCTATTTAAGATTTGTATCTGTGTAATTCATTTTACGTTGAGCTTATTTGGTATGCATCTAGCTGCTTTTCGTTTACCGATTACTTTGTGTTTCTTTCCATAAACATATGTGGCTCTCGGATAATCTATTAATCTCAATCCATTAGTTTCATTGCATATTTCAGCTGCTTTCAATCCGTTAGACTGATTATATATGCACAAAGCATTTTAAAGGTTTCTTATGACCGACTGCTTTCTCCTTTTCAATTTCTAGATTTCGTGTTTTCTACAAGTTTTGGATATAATCGTAAGCTTTTGTAGTGTTTCATGTTTCCTGTGCAGTTTCCTCTCCGTGTTTTGTGTAAATTTAGGCTTCAATCTGGTCTGATGATGAAGACTTATCGATGAGGTTGTGAATGACTTTTCGGTTTGCAGTTAATAGTGGTATAGATTCCAGTCTTCTGATATGCAAGGGCTCTCTATTTGTTTTGTGTTGTTGTATGATTCCCCTCCATCTTCTTCAAATGTGCAATCGACTGGGTTTCTTCCATTAGGTTTCCTGTGTTGTACATAGTTGTTCGTTGATTTAGTTGACTAGAGAAAAAATTTGTTTTAGAATTTGCATTGTGGGTTTGATAGGCTGCTTTAAAGATCTGATTCATAGTTGTCTCTCTTTTGCTAAACTGCAGTTGCACCTGCAGCTAAAAGAAGGAAACTTCTCTTGCACAGTTATGGTGATTGCGTACCACAATCAATAGGTTGTCATTGGAAACTGCAATGTTTTTGCATGGAAATTGGGATGTCTTTTACTTCTGATTGTTCTTCCCATTAGTCCATAAGGTCATTTTGTGTGTTATTTTTTCCATTGTTTCTTTTACTTAAAGAAAAGGCGGTTGTAGCTATGATTTTTTTGTGTGTGTTGGGTTTTGTTTTTGTCTATGCTTCTTTTACTTAAAAGGAAATGCAACTATTCATGAGCAAGGTAATCAACCACACTTTTCATACTGTGAAATCCAAACCACTGATAAGAATGCAACAGCTCTCAATTTGCCATCAACTGAACTGCCTGCCAAATGATCATGTTGTTGCAAATTTAGTTCCCGCGGCGTAGCCGTGGGTATTGATTCTAGTATGTGTATGACAGATGGAGGCTTTTTAGTATGCTATATAGTATGAGTGCTTTACTATGTCTATAGCCCTTAGATCTTGTTATAAAATATCAGCCATTGGATTAAAGTTATTTAATTATTATTATTTTACCTGTTGGAATGGTAACATGTTGCACCGGTTCCAGAGCCTCGAGTTTCAGAGCCTCTCTTCCGCGGTGGGATTTCAGAGCGTCTCTTCGTCGATAGTGACGGGATTGATTGGCGGCGACGGCGAATCTGCATCTGAATTAGGGCGACGGCGACAACGAACCTGCATCAAGGGGCGATGGTGACGGCGACACTGTGAGAAGAAAGAGATTGGGGGTTCCGTTTCTCGACTCTCAAAGCTCCCGACTTCGCATGCGGCATGTCAAAGGCGGAACAACATCACTTGATCTGAATTCTTAAGGGTTCCTTTGGGGGAGTCGGAATTCCCCACTATAGATGGAGAGTTGCAGTGCTGAGGAGGGATTCTTCGATACTAGGGAAGAGGTCTCTTCCATCTCCGATTGGGCTTCCGATTCCGACGGCAACGGTGTTTTCGCTAATTCTCAGTTCGAGATTTGGGGTAAGAATATGGAGAGCGTAGAGGATCGGCGATGGAGGTTCCTCGGATAGATGAATCCGAGTTTCGACCGGGGTTCGGTGAAGGAATTGGGAAGGAAAGTCCCGAGAAGATCGAATTGGGAGTTGATAGAGTGATGGATGATAGCAGCGCAGTGTTGAGAACTTCTGGTTCTGATGAACCCGACCTCTGGTCTGACACTTTGTCGCGGTCTACTTCTTGCTAGTCAGCTGAAGCTCGGGAGTCGTTTGAAGATGGTGCTTCGGAGGTGGATTTCATGTACAAGATTAGGAACTTAGACGACGGAAGGGAGTTTGTCTTCGAAGAACTGGATCAAGATTGTATTCTGGTTCGATGGATGGGACAATCAAGGTGTGGGATTTGAACACCGAGGAGTGCATTCAAACACTCAAGCACACGATGGTGCTGTGACGTCTGTTATCTGCTGCTTCGAAGGAAGAAGGAGGCTGCTTGTTGTCAAGATTGGATGTCTGGAAACTGTGGCAGAGGGGAGAGCTGTCAATTCCTACACTCATGGTGCCGTGGAGATGGATTTTCAATGCTAGCAAGACTAGTTGAAGAAGAGCATGACGGTGAAAAGAAGTCTATTTCTGGGATTGGGTACCCTGCAGGATCTGACAAGCTATATTCAGCAACCAGTGGTGGAGTGGTACGTGCTTGGGATTGCCATACTGGTTTGCTTGCCGGGACTGCGAATGTTAGTGACTACAAGATCGGATGTTTGATCAGCGATGGAGATTGGGTGTTTGTTGGTTACCCCAATGGTGTCAAAGCATGGAACTTTAAATTAGGGGTTTATCATGACCTCACAAGTTCAAATGGTCAAGTCAATGCCTTGGAGTTTGGGTTGGATGCCTTGTATGCTGGAGCTGAAGATGGTGCAATTTTTGTTTGGAAAGGATTTGCTGATCAGCAGGCCGATCCCCAATTTCAGCAGCCTGCTACTTCCCTAAAAGGCCATGGAAGTGCAGTTACTTGCCTCAGAGCTAGCATAAATGGTGATTTGTATAGAAGATTGTATTCTGGTTCGATGGATGGGACAATCAAGGTGTGGGATTTGAACACCGAGGAGTGCATTCAAACACGATGGTGTTGTGACGTCTGTTATCTGCTGGAATACGGCCCTGGTGTCTTGCTCACTGGATAAGAAGGTCAAGTTCTGGGGTTGCGCTGAAGATGACAGTGATGATATAAGCCTTTTGTACACACATGAAGAGGAAAGTGTTGCAGTTGCTCTTGGTGGGATGAATGATTCCGAAGGAAAACCAGTCTTGTTCTGTTCGTGGAGCAACTGTAGTGTTGGGTTATACGAGTTGCCAACACTCGAAGAGCGTGGAAGGATTTACTCACAGAAGGAAGTAAGAGCAATTCGAAGTGGGCCTGACGGTTTGTTTTTCACAGGGGACGCAAATGGTGTCGTCAGCGTCTGGAAGTGGGCCAAAGCTGATGCTGCTTGATTCTTTGCTTCCATTGTCCTCAATTGTACACAGAGAGTTATATCTGAAGTTAGAATTTTGACATGTAAAGTCACGACATGGGATTCCATTTCATTGTTGGAACCCAGAGTAGGCTACCGCGCTGAATTTTTTCAATGTATCAGTGTGGCAGTGCCATAGAAGAAGCAACAATCAGTTGCTTCTGATTCTTTTGTATCTATGTACCGCAAACAAAGTAAATACAAAGTAAATACAAATTAGTACATAAGCAGGAAAAGGTCCTTTTCTTAATTATCACAAACATACTTGTATATGTCGAAGCAATAACATTGAGAAATAAATAAAATTCAGAAACCTCAATTAGAACGTACATCATCATCATCATCACGAGCTGAATTCTTCTGTTCCCAAATAGTATCATCCATGAAACACCATTATTTTCCTGCTGCTGCCCTACAGGAACGGACAGCTACAGAAGATCCAGATAGATCATTAGCTTTTGCCCTAGAAGATGTACCTACACTTTCTAGAGTTGTAACTTTACACTAAACTTAAAGTTGTACCTACACTTTCCTAAAAATCTTCTATGGTACAATTCACAAGTTATACCTATACACTTTCTAACAAATCCTTCTATGGTACAACCCAAACTTGTACCTATATCATGGTACAACTTTAAGTTGTACCTACACTTTCTAATAAATCCCTTTATGGTACAACTCAAAATTGTACCTATACTAATGGTACAACTTTTAGTTGTACCTACACTTTCTCCAAATCCTTCTATGGTACAACCCAAACTTGTACCTATACCATGGTACAACTTCATGGTACAACTTTAAGTTGTACCTACACTTTCTAACAAATCCCTTTGTGGTACAACTAAAAATTGTACCTATACTAATGGTACAACCTTAAGTTGTACCTACACTTTCTCAAAATTATTTTATGGTACAACCCAAACTTGTACCTATACTATGGTACAACTTTAAGTTGTACCTACACTTTCTAACAAATCCTTTTATGGTACAACTCAAAATTGTACCTATACTAATGGTACAACTTTAAATTGTACCTACACTTTCTAATAAATCTCTTTATGATACAACTCAAAATTGTACCTATACTAATGGTACAACCTAAGGTTGTACCTACACTTTCTCAAAATCCTTCTATGGTACAACCCAAACTTGTACCTATACCATGGTACAACTTTAAGTTGTACCTACACTTTCTAAAAATCCTTCTATGATACAACCTAAACTTGTACCTATACCATGGTACAACTTTAAGTTGTACCTACACTTTCTAAAAATCCTTCTATGATACAACCTAAACTTGTACCTATACCATGGTACAACTTTAAGTTGTACCTACACTTTCTAAAAATCCTTCTATGATACAACCTAAACTTGTACCTATACCATGGTACAACTTTAAGTTGTACCTACACTTTCTAACAAATCCCTTTATGGTACAACTAAAAATTGTACCTATACTAATGGTACAACCTTAAGTTGTACCTACACTTTCTCAAAATTCTTTTATGGTACAACCCAAACTTGTACCTATACCATGGTACAACTTTAAGTTGTACCTACACTTTCTAACAAATCCCTTTATGGTACAACTCAAAATTGTACCTATAGTAATGGTACAACTTTAAGTTGTACCTACACTTTGTGAAACAAATTCTTCAATGGTACAACTGAAACTTGTACCTATACGATATGGTACAACTCTAATTTGTACCTACACTTGTATACATTGATTCATTATTTACAAGATTGCCATTAATGATGTGGGACCAGTCATTTAGTGGGTTTACCTCCTCAACAGGTCACCTTTTTTTTTTGTTTTTTATAGCATTGGTGCTATAGAGCACACTAAAAGGGCTCTCAAACTTATCATTTTAGTTGATAACATAAGCAGTCATACTTTATTAGGGGCCAATTTATTTCTAAAGAGAGAAAAACGAGCCCACCAAATAGAGTTTTGTACTGTATTTTTTATCATGGCGAGGTCTTACTACTAAGAGTGACTTTTCCAATAATCTATCACCAAAATCGTGTACATATATTACTTGGTGGTTTGAATTACTCTGTGTTGAGGCCATATTTGATGAACTTCTCATTCTCTAACAGTTGGGAAACACAGGGTTGTGGGTGTAAGAGGGTTTGTATCCATGTCCAAAGGCAAATTACAGTTTGATACCTAAACTTAATAGATATGCAGATTTAGTACCTGTATTTAATTTTTTTTGCATATAAGTCCTCAAAATATCAATGGAAAATTACATTTTGGTACATAAATTTTTTTGGTCTTACATTTTGGTACCTAAACTTTTCAAGTTTTACAAATAGGTTCAATTTTTGTGTGTGTAGTTAAAACATCCTCAAGTAAATGGATATTCATATCCAACCCATACCCATTTAAATTATGAAAGCAATATCCATACCTAACCCAAACCCATCTACAAACCCCCAAACTCATATACACTTCATCCAAATCCTACCCATACTAAATGGATCTATTTGGATTTGGGTAAAATTACCCATGGGTGGGTAATTGCCATCCCTAGTTGTGAAACACAGGGTTGAGGGTGGAAGAGGGCATACAAGTTCTTGTCCTATGGCGATTGGATGAGTTCAGAATTCAGACCATGTCTAGAATTGTTTGAAGGAGACATAAGTGACAACCCGGTCACTCAATCTTTTATTTGCAGGATGTGAATATTGAATTAATGAGTAATGACTTTTTTTAAGCATATAGATATACGATTCAAACGTATCTCTACGCTGCCATCGATAAGATAAGCAACTCATGCTTTTATTAGGCGTCGCCTTTGTTTCTAAAGAGAGAAAACAATACATCAGACGAGTTCTACTATCAGATGAGAACACCATGACAACCATGAGGACGTGCTGACAATCATAGCAAGTGCAGTAGCTCAAAACTAAAGCTCACGGGAGATGATGATATCCAGCCAAGATAAAAATAAAATTGCAATTCCTTACGTTGACAAAAAGCACTATAACCACGAGTTAAAGATCGTTGGCACTTACTAGAAGTGCGTTCGCAACTAGATGATAGAACATCCAATCTGAACATCCAATCAATATATCTTTTTAGCGTAACTGTATGTAGGTTTGAACTAATCTGGCACATTAGCTTCAAGATCAAGGTGGTCAGCGGGTAATTAATGTCAAGCCGGGCTGGTTAAATTGGGCCTCATGGTGTTCTATTGGGCCTGCCAGCAGATCGAGGCAGGCCCAACTCCAGTTCGGGTTCTACGAGGGCAAATGCAACGCGACCGACGTGGAGTCCACGGTCTGCAGCGTGTTGTGAGCAAAGTACTAGAAGTAGAAGGACACAACCCTCTCGTTTTACCGCCATCACATTTTAAGCTTTACTCACTTGTCACTTCATCACAGCAACTTACCGCCATCACATTTTAAGCTTTACTCACTTGTCACTTCATCACAGCAACTTCAAATGCTGTGGCTGTGGGTCTGAGTAGAAACAAAGTGATATGAGCTTTTACTTCTTTCCAAGAGCAAATTCATTATTGTATCCTTCCATTAATGCCAATTACACCAGAAAGGAACAATTAGTTTGTGCAGAATCTTCATCTTCAAGACAATAAAAGGCTCTTTTAAGCACACCTTTAAACTTATCGATTTGGTTTGATAACATAAGCAATTCAAACTTCTAAGAAAGAAAAGATTGCATCCGACAAGTTCTGACATCATATGACAACATCATGACATTACGACGACACACAAACAATCACAGTAAGGGTTACTAAGTCAAAATATAGCTTCGAGGAGATGATGGATATCCTCGGTAAGAATAGAAGAAACAGTTCCTCACATTGATAGAGAGCACTAGAATCAAGAGTCAACAATGGTCGAAATTGATTAGACGTATGTTTGCATGCTGAGTCATTTGTCCTAAGTACCATCTGGTCATTCAATGTTTATCTACTTAAAAGTTAAATTAATATCTCTTTTGAGATAATTATATACTAGTTTTTTTGCCCGCGCTTCGCAGCGACATATAAGAAACTAATTATATTTAAACCTTCATCAAATCATTTAATAATTTTGTTAATAGCAAGCAATTCACAAATTAGTTTGAGTAAGATACCTATTGAGCCTTTACCCAATGACTTGATCATTATAAAATATATACGTAATATGTTTAACTAATTGATAAATAAGAAATAACTATCATCCATGTAATACATCAATGATTTATGTTGAAAACATTCAATCTCATATCCAAAGCTTAATAATTAGCACACATTTGAAATGACTTACAACTTCATTTCCACGTTTAAACATTCAACTAAAATTGATTCACAAATCAATCATAATATTTATAACTATTAGAATTAGAGTTATTAAAATAATATGTAAAGTATATAATATAAAATAATATGAATATTTAATTCCTCTTAATTTACCGAAAGAGACCATGAGAGGAATTTGTTAACCAATGAGATCGAAAAAGTTGTAGTATACTCAATTGATTTTTTGTTGGAGCTATGTCTCTTTTGCTTGATATAGGGCTTCCGTTAGACCATTACATACCCATTAAGAAATTAAAATTGTTCACAGGATAGTCATCCATTTCGGATAAGCATAGTATCTTTAAACGATAAATTGGTAGTTTCTTGTTAGTTGATTGACAGTGCTTTTAATCCAATCAAAGTTAGATCTCTTTTTTCAGTTGAGTTACTTCCCTCCTCTCAGTATCCATTGTGCAACTTTATTCCTCTCTTTCAATGAAATCTAGTTAGCAAATAATGGACCATACAATGATAAGAAATGGATCCGTTTATAAGATTAGTAGATGAGGACAATTGCTAGTCAAAGCAAAATAGCAATGCAACAAAATCACATTGCTGATTAGTTTGGCTAAGAGTACAAAGAATCAAAAGTGAAATTATCTAAACACTTGGTGATGAAGAAGTTGTATGCTTAGAACAGATGTCTAGAAATCGGAGTTTCGGAAAG